GGGGCCTGCCCTGCCCTGCCCTGCCCTGCCCTGCCCTGCCCTGCCCTGCCCTGCCCTGCCACGGGCGTGGAGGGTCGGAAACCGGAGTGCACGGCGTGTTGCACGCCCGCTGCCTCCAACCTTGGCTTCGGGCTCGACCCTTCTTCTCGACTCCCATCCTTGTTTCTCGTTCTGGCGCCACCTCGATCGCTTGCGGTCCTTCCTCTCTTCTTCCCTCACCGCCTTCCGCAGAGGGGATCACGGCATCCCTCATGCCGTCCTCGACCCCTCTTTCCTCCATCGACGACCGCGACGCCCACGCCAGCATCTCCCACCTCGACGACCTCTCAGCCTCGGCGTGGGCCTCCGTCCCCGACAGCCACCGCGCAGCCAACATCCGCACCGCCCACACTTCGGAGCCGGATGATAGCGCCGCCAACGCTTCCCTCGCCATCAACTCACGCCAGTATCAAAAGAGCCTTGCGTCTTTTATCGATGACGATGACGACGACAACGACGACAACGACAACGATGACGACGACGACGACAATGACAAGGTCGTCGACAGTTCCCGCGGCGAAGACGCAGAAAGCGTCGGCACGGTAACGCATCGTCTCGAAGAAGCTGCAGATGATGCTCGGCGCAATGGGAACCTGGGCCATAGCAGCACGAATACTGCCGACGACGACGACGACGACGAATCCTTCATCTACACAGGCCAGGATACGTCTTTCGACAGCGCGGTCCTCGGCGGTGGCGAGGACAGAGATTCGGACAGCTACAGCGCCAAGATGAGAGAGATCCTTGGGAGCGATACCGACGACGACGACGACGACGACGACCGCGCGCGAGCGCAGTCCAAAGCAGCAAACGAGACCGACAAGCGCAGTAACAGCGTCACCGACCAGAGCGATGATGACCAAGGGTCTTTTCAGTACCCAGGTACGACGCCGCACGACACCAGCTTCGAACCCGCTTCCGGCTCGACGGATGGCCGCAGCCTCGTCGAATCGGACCGCCACTTGCAGGCAGTGTCTGGCGGGGCCACGCCCTCGCCCAATGGCTGGTCTTCCCTCCGCATCCCTATTCTACCGACTCCGCAGCGTCCGGCAGCCTATCCGTCAATATCCAGGTTGAGATCCTCTCTGGGCCCGTCATCGAGCCCCTCGAGGTCCAGCGCACAAATCAGGCTCGCTGGCCTCGGCGTCGATTCGCCTGCCGCTTCGTCCCAATATCGACGATCACCGCTGCCCCTGGGCATCGCTTCGCCATCCGCATCGGCTTCTCAGCCCGCCGGTGCAGCCGTCCTCTCGCCACCGTCGATCTCATCGGCCAGATCCCGCACCAGCTCCACGTCGTTCGCCTTCCACCCGCTGTCCAGCCGGAGAAAGCGGAAGGCCAGGACCTCCTTTCCATATGGTCCCACCGCCGACGCTGGGCAGGGTTCGCGGCCCGACATGGACCTCGAGACGTCGAGCCTACGGTCAGAGCTCATAGCCGCCGAACCGCTCGCGATCGACGCGCCAGATACAGACCAAGCAGGAAAGGGAAAGGCCATCCTCAAGGAGGCGGTCGAACAGAATGGAGAGATGCGCAGGGACTTTGTCAGGTGGTCGGCACTGCGCAAGCTCTCTGTGCAAGTAGCCGCGAGACCTAGCGCGACAGATGCGAACGGAACGAAGAAGAGCCCAGCAGACCCTGCTCAGTCCACCGTGCTGGCCGTTGCGGGCGGCTTGATCGCCATCGGATCTGCAGATGGCAAGACGATGGTGTTCGAATACTCGCAGGAGCTCAAGTGCGTGTGCGACAGCGGCGACATCGGTAAGTGCAGGTTGCTCCTGACATGCCCTGGACTTTCGCGAATCGTGTGCTCTGGCTGACTCGCAGGTCATCTTGCCGGGTCGCCACCGCAAAGCCGGACCGCCTGGCTCTGTCAGCGCTCTCGCCTTCTCGTCGGACCACACCTTCCTCGTTGCCGGACACGAGACAGGCCATATCTTCATCTACGATCTGAGCTTGCCAACGCACCCTTCGCGTCATGTCCCGCCGGTGCCGCTGAGCGCGGTCAAGGCCGGTCGGAAGGAGGGCCACCTGAACGGGTCCAAGATCGTCCACGTCGGTTTCATCGGCCTGCGACATACTGCCATCGTCAGCGCTGACAACAAGGGGCTCAGCTTCTATCACGCGCTCGGCAGGATTCTCGGCGTCAGCTCCAACGATACCCTTCGCCTCCTCGGCAGATATCCGCAGCATGAGCATGAGTATGAACTCGGGCTCGCAACGTCCAAGAGAAGCACCGTGTTTGGCATGGCGCCTCTGCCTCTCGGACCGAGGCCACACGCAGCCGACTTGCACCACTTTGTCGCCATCTTGACGGCAGGGAAGTTGGTCATTGTGGGTCTCAAACCATCCGCTCGGACCTGGTATCGCAAAGTGAGGCCCACGCAATCCGAGGAGAAGGCCAGCGGTGCGTTCACGCAGGCAACGACTTCGCCAGAGGCAGCAGCAGCAGCAGAGGCAGCAGCAGCAGCAGCAGCAGCAACAGCACCAGCACCAGCACCAGCAGCAAACAAAGAAAGCGAGGGGCATGCCAATGGCGTTACAGCGCCGAGAAACGCCGCCGGCGACCGCGCTAGACCCCTCGTGCCAGGGAGTCTGTCGTGGTATCCGGCCTCGACCGAGATCGATGGGCGGCGCAGCCGTCAGACCAACCCGATCTTGGCGTTCTCGTTTGGCGATCGGCTCCACCTCGTCCGGCTGATCGCGCGTCAGGCACCGCGACACCAGACCCACGCGGATGCGAGCCTGGCCGAGGCGCAAGAGGTGATCGATGTCGTCGAGCTAACAGGCAGGGACGGCCTCAAGGAACGGAGCAACATCCTCGCTCTGCAGTGGCTCAGCCCGGACTTGCTCATGCTGGTGAGCGAGAGCGGCCTCGCACTCTTCGACTGCCGCACTGGCGCAGTCACTGAACGCATGGAGGGCGACAGCGCGGGCGCCGTCATGCAAAGGCTGGTCGAGCACAGCTGGTACGATTCAGTGCTCGGCATCGACCCGCCGTCGGCCTCTACGGAAGGGTTGCATGTCGAAGATTACACCATACCGTGCAGCGACCCGCAGGCTGCCGCCAAGCATCCGAGATCGTGGGCCGTCAGCCACAGCATCAGGACGTCAAAGGGCAAGACCTTCTTCTTGACCAGGTCCGAGCTGGTGGTCGGTACACTGCTCTCTTGGGCCGATCGGCTCCTGGCCTACGTATCGGAAGGCGATTTCCTATCCGCGATCGAGCTGGCCACGCTTTTCTACGAGGATCGGGCCTTGGGATCTGCTGTCGGGTTGCCCTCCGATGCCGTCGACCGCAAAGCCGCCACTGCGCAGAAGCTGAGGGAGCTGATGGCGGCCTCGGCCGAGTACGCCTTCAGCCCCGATCGCCTGACCGACTCGACCCACGTCACGCCGGACGGCCGCGGCGTCGATCGGACTTCGCTGTTCGAGGGACTCGCAAGGGTCTGTGCGCGCGCCTGCCTGGCGCTCAAGGACCTCAGCTTCCTCTTCGACACCCTCTACGATCGCTACGAAGACAACGGCATCGAGGGCATTTTTGTGGGGCAGATGGAGCAGTTTATCGTCTCGGGTGAGCTGCGCACTTTGCCGATCCCCGTGGTGCAGAGGCTGTTGGCGTTCCGCAAGAAACAGGGCGAGTATGACTTGGCCGAGACCATCATCTGGCACGTCGACCCCAAGAGCCTCGACCTGGATCAAGCCCTCTCGCTTTGCATCGACCAGCGACTCTACGACGCGATGATCTACGTCTACAATGCGGCGCTCGAGGACTTTGTCTCGCCCATCATCGAGCTGCTAGTCCCCCTCAAGAGGATCCTCCAGGTCAGGCGACGCGTCGTCACCAGGCTCAGACACGCCAAGCTTAGAGACGAATCTGCTGCTCCGGCGGTCGGCCCCGACGAGTGGACACCTGCAGCGCCGCTGCCCGCCTCGCAGCCCTCTTCCCTGGACCTCGGCTTCGCCGTGTCTGAAGAGGGCGACGAGCAGGAGTTTGAAGATGCCTACAAGACCTTCTCCTACCTCTCGGTCGTCCTCACCGGCCACCAGTACCCGAGCCAGGAGCCCATCTCCGACGAATCGACGGCCAACATGGCAAAGACGACCATCTACTCGTTTGTCTTTTCCGGCCGGTGCATGCTGTGGCCTCCCGGTCCCGGGGGCAAGCTAGTGCTGTTCGGCCTGGAGGACGAGGATGGCGGTCAAGAGAGCGGACGGCACGGCCTCGGCGACGATTCTGGCTCCGAGAAGCCGGCCTCGTCGCGTGAGAAACCCCACGGTTTCCTCAAGGCATCAGAGCCGATCTACCCTTACCTGCGGCTCTTTTTGGAGTTTGATGCCGAGGCGTTCCTGGATGCGCTCGACCTGGCGTTTGAGGACCCTTTCCTCGACGATGAAGACCTCGTCGGCAAGCGTATAAGCCGTCAGCTCGTGATCGACATCCTCTTGGAGCTCTCTCGACTGGGGTCCCGACACCAAAGATCGGGCGCACACCGAGGCGCCGCGGACAGCCGCGAGCCAGGCGACCAAGAGGCAATGGGTCGGACCAGGCAGGTCAGCGAGGCTGACGATGCCCAGCCTGCGCTGCCTCCACTTTCGAGGGCATTTGTCAACATCTTCATTGCTCGCAATGCTCCCAAGTACCCGCAATTCGTCAAGCTCGGAAAGGCCGACATTGACCACCTCTTGCGCGCGCTCGCCACGCCTGAGCTCGACGCCGATGACGCTGAGCACGACGACGCATCGCTGACTGCGACGACGCGCGAAGACCGTCAACTAGCCACCGAATACCTCCTCTCGACCTACAAGCCGGACCATACTGAGCAGAGGCTCGACGAGTTCGAGCGCGCCGGTTTCTCGCGGATCCTGCAATCCGCCTTCCGGCAGAATGGCCAGTGGGATCGTCTCCTCGCGATGGTGATACGAGATTCATTCGGCAGTGCGCCTAGCACGGAGGCCGGCGAAGCGGGCGTGGATCTCACCGGCTCGCAAGCGGCCTCGACGCGACGGCAGGCGTTTGCACACATCGAGGAGATTGTCGTCAAGGCATCGAGATCGTCCAGACGGGCCGAGATCATGCCGCGACTTCATTCCTTGCTCGAAGTCTCGACGGACGCGATGCTCGAGGCGGATGCATTGCACACAGTCGCCCTGCTGGACCGCTTCTTTCCATCCAAGCACAGCGCAATCATTGGAGCGCTCAAGCAACGGCAAGACGAGGAGACGCTTTTGCTCTTCCTGCGTTGCTTTTTTGAGCCTATGCAGGTCTTGCAGAGGTCGAACGGGGAGGCAAGGGCGATTCTCCCGGAGGAGAGCAACGGGGAGGCCTCGAGAGGGGCCCGAAACGGGCAACAACCGCCGTCGCCGGACGACCACGAAGCTGGCATCGGTGGCCAAGGCCATTACGACGAGCTAGTTGCCTTTGCTTCGCCGGAGCATCTCGACGAGGAAAGCCGAGACCTCTATCTCGAGCTGTTGAGTCGCCACGAACCGGAGGCGATCGTTCGCAACCTCGACCTGCGAGGCCCACGCTTCTTTGATCTCGAGGCCACCATCGCTTTTTGTCAGCGCGACCGGATCGGCGCCGGCGATGCGATCCTCTGGTGCCTCGACCGGCTCGGCAGAGCCAAGGAAGCATTCGACGAGCTCGATGCGATCCTCGCCGGCGCTGCGGCAAGTTTCGGCGAAGTCGTGGCAGCCGACGGGACGGCCGCTGAAGGCTCTCTCTCCGCCGCAGGCGAAAAGCGCCTGTTGCGTGGCGTCCGCCAGGCGGTCGACATGGCCGTGCGGCTCTGCATCGAGCGCGCCAACGACTTTTCCGGAATGCACGACAGCGATGACGAAGATACGCTGCCGCCGAGCCCGAGACAGGGTTCGTCAAAGCCGCAGCCAATCGACGCCGACGAGATCTGGTTCCGCCTGCTGCGCAGCCTCGTCAAGCTGGTCCACGACGTCGCCGGTCTTTCAACGCCACCTTCCAACGCAGCGTCCACGGAGCCTGCCGGCCCCGCTCAGCGGCGGATCTTGGGCATCCTGAACGAAAGCAGAGAGATCGTCCAGGACACGCTCTCGGCTCTGGTCGCATCTACGGCTGCAGAAGCGGTATCGTTCCCGGACCTCTTCCGGCGGTTGGTGGGCGAGGACGGCGCCCGGTCCCAAGGCGTGCAGCTCGCCAAATACTACACCGAGGTCCGCGCGGTGCTCGAGGGCATGCTGGGCGCGTACAGGCTGCGCTCGGACCTGCTCAAGATCACTAACAAGCTCTTTGATCGAGACACGTTCAACGAGTTCCGGCGTATGACGACCCAGCGCAAGCGAGGATGGCGGCCTGTCAGCGGACAAGCGCGATGCTCGGGCTGTGGACTTGTGACCATCGGATGCAAGCGCGGAGATGCAGCTCAAGGCGACGACGGACGCGCCCACCTCGCCGTCAACCGAACCGAAAGCATGGCGGAAGCACCTAGCTACTGGAGCAGCCTGCCCGAGAGTGCGCCCATGAGCCGGCGTTCGAGCCGCGACACGGGTGCCGAGGGCAACCTGCGGCGGCGTGTCTTGCGCAACAACTCATCGAGCAGCTCGCTGGCGGTTCCCCAGACGCCGCTTCGGAGGAGGCCGATGACGCCGTATGACGAAAAGGCGGCCCCACTGTCGTCGCCTAGCATCGACAAGGGCAAGGGGGTCGTGCGCAACTCCGAGGGACGGTGGGGCGACGACGACGATGACATCGACGGCTACTTCTCCGGACCGGCCGCCATGCTCGCCGGGAACGCGTCGGCCAGTCAGAACGGGCCCGCACGCTCGTATGGCATGGCGATGTCGGCGTCGGCGGATAGCTTCATGCTGCGCTCTGCGTCTTCATCGTCGAGCCTGTCGCTGCGTATCGACGACGGGCCGACCAAGAGGGAGAGGTCTCAGACCCAATCTCACCTGCAGGTGTCACCGCCATCAAGGGCGAGGAGCTCTTCTGCCGCTGCATCCGCGTCGGCGGCGTCCGCCACCGACTCTAGCTCGCCTGGCGCGTCGCTGCGGAGGCAGATGTCGGACGGCGGCTACCGAGCATATGGCGACATCCGGGCTGGCGACCGCTCCACCATCGTCAGCAGCCCCGACCGGGGCGGCCGCAACGACGTCGACGCACCCGCCAAGCCAGCGAGGGGAGAGTTGCTGTCGATTCCACAGCAGGAACCGGCTGCCGAATCAACACTGACGCCGGCAGGGGCGATGGACGAGGCGATCGTGGTGCTGCGCAGCGGAACAGTGTACCATGAATCGTGCTGGCACGCGAGGGTCGAAGATGGCATCGACATGGTGTAGCACGGGCGGTGGAAAGGGAGATCCCGGTGTATGCCAAACCCACGTTATCTCCACGCGCGCTCTCTCTCTCTCTTGCGTCTGGCGTTGTGCTTCATCTTCCTTGCGCCCGTGCAGCGAAAGGCATCCAAGCTTCTCGTTACAGGTAGTGCAGAGCATGCATCGAGTGCGCCTGCGCGGATCAACGCAGGCCGAGAGCCTGCCACGGTCAGCCTTGATTGTTTTGCTTTGTCGCCGGCGCACCGAAGGTGAGGAGTGGACGGCAAGCAAAGGTCGGGATCGACCTTACCTGAACAGGGCTGCAACCTCAGTCATCCGTCGAGGCGAAGCCCTGACGGGCACGGACGATGCGGGTGGGGGAATGGCGAGTGGATGTTGAACCTGTCCCGACCCCGAGGGACTGCTGCTTGCTTGCTGGGTGCGTGCAGGCCGGCGGCGTTGTGTGCGCGCGCGCCTGCATTCGGATCTCGAGGCGTGCGTGCGTGTGCGCCCAGCAGACAGCAGGTTGGCCTCGAGCGGGAGCAGGCAGGGTCCTGCTTGCCCCCGTCGGTTCGGTCCTTGCAAGTCGTGCTGGTTCGCGGGTAACTACTACCTTTTCCCCGCAATGCAGTCAGCTCCTCCCCCTTTTGCGTGCTGGGGACAAACACCGCGAAAGAAGGGCGAGATGGAGACAGGGGACGGCGACTGAGGAATGTATGTACACATAGTATGACAAGCAAGACGGGCGCGGAAACAGAGGGGTAAGCGAGAGGGTCAGGCGGTCAACCAAAAGGGTCGGGGGGGATGGATGTTGTTGTGGGTGGGCACGGAAGACTACACTACTCTCTTTCCTCTCCCCGCTCGTTGGTGCTTGCAAGCCCCATGCCTGCCCATCTTGGATCTATCTGAGCCTCCCGGTCCGTCTTTGTCTTCCTTCTTGTCCTCCATCTTCCTCTGTCGTCACTTGGGACCCATCTCCGCCTTCGCCTTCGTTCGCTCTTCTTAGTAGTGCCACGCTCGACGACGAACACGCTCCTCCACCGGCAACGCGCTCGAGCAAAAGCAGCGCCAAGATTGCACCGACATCCGTCCCCGACGCAGCACACTCTTCGCGTTCCTATAGCACGTTTTAGATCGGGAAAATGCCGTCATCCAAGGGAAAACCTACTGATCCCAAGCTAAGGGAGCAGGTCAAGGAAGGTAGGTCACGCCTCCGCCGAGCCGTTCTCGCACCGTCAAGCGGGAGCGAAGCGCAGAAACGGGATCGACGTTGATCTCCCGTCGACCGTCTCCTTTCTACGGACATACAGAGGTCAAGAACATGGAAAAGGGCGGTGGAAAGGGACAGTGGTCTGCTTGGAAGGTATGTCGAGCGAACTCTCGCTTTCGCAAAGGCGCCATCGACCGCCGCGCTCGGGGACTCATCATCCCATCCGTCTGTCGCGCCTGCGCTGCTGTGTCCTCTCTCGCGCTCTGTCCATCGACCGCAGGCCTCGGAGATGTCGAAGCGATACGAAGCCAAGGGAGGTGGATACGAGGACCAGGGCGACAACCCCAACGAAGCGTCCAAGGGTGCGCCGAAGCCCAAGAAGGAGGCCGTGGAAAAGGGAGAGCGCAAGGCTCCCGACGCGCCCGTCGGCGAGAAGAAGAAGCCCGCTTCCAAGGGCAGCGGCGAGAAGCGAAAGGACACTGACAACGAGGACACGGAGAAGAAGGCCGATGATAAGAAGGACGAAGCCGATGCCAAGAAGGATGACAAGAAGGCCAACGGGAAGGAGACGGCTGCCCAGCCCAAGGAGAAGAAGCAGAAGAAGGAGGCCAAGGAACCGGCCAAAGGCACCCGGACGCAGCCTTCCCGGGGGGTCAAGAAGTAGTTCGTCCGTTCTCCCTCCCTCTACAGGCCTGGCCGCTGGTCTGCTCATCGTGTGTTGCCCAGTATGCCACGCCATCTCTAGCGTCTGCTTCTTGTCGATCTGGTGTGACGGAGGAGCGCACCCCAGTCCAGTCTTTGTCATTTGGTTATTCTTGCCGCTTCTTTGCTTCAACCCGAGCGTGCCTGCCGGTGATGCGGAGCGACGACCACCTGGGGATCGCCAAGGGGCCTGGCAATCGGGAGCGAGACTTTGCGGAAAGGGCGCGGTCGGCCGTTGCGATGTGAACTTGAGACGAGTGCTCGGTCGCAGAGGATTTAGGGTGCCATGGCCAGACCGGACCTCTCTTTGGCGGCGAGGCCATCGGGTCTCGAGTGCATCCCCCTGGAATGCCTTCAGCGGAGCGCGTTTGGCTGGATTTGAGCTTGAAATTGCCGCCTCGCCTGCGCACGCGCTTTGAGATCTTGCCACGGCGATCAACGACTCGATGGATTCTTTAGACTGAGCGAAGCATCGCAGAACCGCTTCGCCTCTTGTTCGAGGCCGAGAGTGGTGCGGTGCGAAACAGATTGCTCGCGAGTTGAGGTGCGTTGACGGGCCCCGCGACCTGGCCAATGGCACACCGTTGCATCCATACGGGTACCATGATATGGCATGGCGCGGCGGTGGCCACCGGGCCCGCCGGCGCAAGCGAGTCGCCTCGTATTCACACGTACGTAGGGATTGGCGGCGTGCGTGCTTCTGGTACGGTCTCGCCTGGTTGATCTGATAGGGTCTCCGTTGACCAGCTTCGCTTGGATGGCAAGCTTAAGGAGTCGCGGCCGGTCAGCAGCCACATCGGATAGCGTGCCTGGCTGCTCGCTTAGGATCGGAACGAGAGAGGAAGAGCACCGTATCGGCCTACAGCGCATCTCCTACAGGTGTAACTCTTCTCGTCGCCACCAGGCACTTGCGCTGGATATTCTTTGCATTGCCGTACGAACACCTTGGGAGTCGAAAGATGCAGAAGGACTCTCCTTTGATCTGACGCAGCCGTGGCCAGTAAGCAGAGTGTCGATGCTGGTCGCTACGGCCATTCGCATCGGCAGCCTTCCGGCCAGCTTGGTGAGCCACGAGGCTGCTCGATCTCCACGCACTCCTCAGAGAAGCTGCCACGGTGCCACCACGAGTACGTGCGTATGTGCAGAGTACAGATCCACGCCAGGCGGGTCTCATCGACATCGCCGTACCTGGCTGCCTGCCCCTCCTTTCCCTTTGGGTGGCTGGTCAAGAGAGGGGCAGGCTATGTGGCGCGCTGTGCGGCCTTGCCCCTGTGACGGTTGCTGGGTCGCTGGCTCATGCACGTCGAGCTTGCCGACTGCAATGCGCATCGAAACGAGGCAGCCGCGGTGGGCTAGGTACCCTACCTAGCCTAGCCTAGCCTGCGATCGGGTCGCCCAGCTGTCGGATGACCAAACGCCACCTGCTCCAGCTGCTTTTCGACTGCGCATATGTACACACGTACTCGCCGTGAGCGGCTGCCAAGAAGAGCCGGCGACGGTGCTCCTCTGACAGATATCGAGGTGGCGGAAGTGTTCCGGAGCCAGGAGTCGTTTGTGAGGGAGGAGAAGTCGAGCAGCTTGCACGTAGGTACTCCACGTAGGGGAGAGTGGGTGGTCGCGCAGCCTCGACTACGGCGTTCAAGAAAGAGGCCCAAGGTCGAAAGGGCTGTCTTGGGCAATAGGCGCGAGCGAGCAAGACGGGCCTCACCTCAGAGAGGCCGGCGAGGAGCGGGGTAGGCGGGCTGGCGGGCAAGGAGGCTCAAGACGAAACGCTCTCTCGTGCCCCGGCCGGCGTATCTTAGGATGCCGTGGCCCCCCTTCGAAATCCGAAAGAGAGGTAGGCCTAGCCTTAGCTTGCATAGCGGCGTGCGTGCAGAGCACCAGAGAGGCAGGCAGGCAGGCCGGCACGCAGGGGAGCGCGAGAGATGGAGGGGCGAGTCGCTCGATGACGGCGGGTTTTTGGGCGTCGCCTTTGTTTCCCTGTAGGCCGCCTGCCGGCCTGCGCCGGGCTGTTCCTGGGCAAATTGCTCGGGAGCCTGCCCGATACCCACCCTCCCTCTCTCGCTCGCTCATCTCTCTGCCCTCTGGTGTGCCCCTCCGTACATCTCCTTCTCTCCTTCGACTTGCTCGTCATCGTCACCACCACCTACGCTGTGAACGCTTCCTGATCCTCGACAAACTCCTCCGTCGCCCTACCTCGTCTCTCTGGCTCGCGACACCGGGAACCTGCGCCATCGAAGCCCACACGAGCCTATTTGCTGGCGAGCGTGTTGCCAGGGCGTGACCTCAAATTGGCGCCTTGCACTCTACGCCCTCACCGGAACACGCCCACTCCCACATCTCAACGCCTCGCCGCCTCACTACTCTACTCTCCTCTGGCTACCCATCCCCGATCCTTCTGGCGGAATACATCCGGTCAGAGGCCTATTCGACCCCGACGCCGCCTGGTCTCGGAGCGGCACCCGATCCGTTGCCTCGCGCCGGCGCCACGGCATTCATCCGATCTCTGGGACCATTGGCAACGCGCCATCCAACGCCATACACTGCTTTCTAGACCAAACGAGTGGCCGATCCGACCCAGCGGCCGCCGCGACCAGAGCCTGGCCGCAGTCCACCTTTGCGTGCCCGCCCGTGCCCGGTCGCCCGACCGATCGCCCGCCCTCTCTGTCGCCGACTGGTTGCGAGCGCGCCACAACACGCCTTCCACCCGATCCACCATGCCAATCCCACTCAGCAAGTCCTTTTCCCGGGGACACTCATCCACATACAGCAACAACCAGCCATCCGACGACGTCGCCTCTCCCGTCAGCACAGGACAGCCAAGGTTCGGCGCCGCCGCCGGCAGCAGCAACCCGCGCTCAAAGATGGCAGCATCCATCTCCTCCGATGACCAGGCCTCCACCAAGGCCAGCCTCCGGGCTTGGTGGTCTGCCTTTACAAAGACGAGGCTGCCCGGTGCAAAGGACAAGAAGGTCGCAGTCGAACAGAAGGTGTTTGGTGTCCCACTGCGGCAGTCGCTCAAGTACGCCAGCGTCGCCATCAGCATAGCCGACGACAATGGCCAGCAGTATGTGTGGGGCTACGTACCCGTCATTGTCGCCAAGGTCGGGTTGTACCTCAAGGAGAATGGTGAGTGCCTGGCCGTCGGACTTTCCCCCTCGTCCTGCCAGCAGCGTTCGCTTCTGGTCGGCGCACATTGCAGCGTCGTTGGTGAGGCTGTGTACGTGACCCCGGCTGACCCACGCATCATTGCCCTGCTCGCTGCACCATCCCTTTTTTTATAGCGACCGAGGTGGAAGGCGTGTTCCGCATCGCTGGCTCGCAAAAGAGGATGAAGGAGCTGCAGGAGACCTTTGACAGCCCGCCAAGGGTGAGTATCGGCATATATTGCGCAGATGCCTCACTCGCCGCTCTGCACTTGTCTGCGCACTGACCCGACAATGCGTCACGTTCATCTGTGGCGCCTCCCCCGCGCTGATCCAGTACGGCAAGTCGGTGGACTGGACCAAATACAGCGTGCACGATGCCGCAAGCGTCCTGCGCAGGTACCTCAACCACATGCCTGAGCCCATCGTCCCGCTCGACCTTTACACTGAGTTCCGCAACGTGATGGCCAAGGAGCCCTTCGAAGCCGACGCCGCGGTACGGACGTACCGGTTGCTCATCACGAGCATGCCTCCGGCCAACCAGTATCTCCTACTCTACGTGCTGGATCTGCTCGCCGTCTTCGCACAGAAGGCCGACAAGAACCTGATGCCGGCGAGCAACCTCGCCGTCCTCTTCCAGCCCGGAATGATCTCGCATCCGTCGCACTTCCAGTCGCCCGTCGAGCACAAGATTTCGGTCGAGGTGCTCGAGTTCTTGATCCAGCACCAGGATCAGTTTGTGCTCGGCTCGGCGCCGCAGCCTTTCACCGGCCTTCACTCTGATGAGCTCACCGCCGTCTCGAAACCTCTGGAAGGCGACGATCTCATCCAGCCGTCAGACTCGGACGAGGACCAGGGTGAGCTGCAGGCCCACGAGGGTGGCGGTGCCCGCCTGATGCGCAGCCTGACGTCACGCCCGTCCAAGAAGGCCGCGTCGAAGCGTAGAGGCCTCGGTCGGGGCTCGAAGGCGGCCTCGCCCATCGACGATGGCGCGCTGATGGGCTCTCCCGGCCCTTCGACCAATGGCACGACATCGCAAGATCCTCACGGCGAGGCCGCCGAAGGACTCGGAGCGATTGTCCCGCTCAAGGGCGCGACTGGCGTGCGGCGTACCAAGACGGCACCCACTCGCAAGGTCGTTGACGGCGCCAATCCGGTCCGTAGGGCGAGGAAGCCGCGAGCCTCTGCGGGCAATCCGGGCCACGAGGCCGGCTCAGCCTCGTCCGAGCGCAAAGAAGCGCCACCGGCGCCGTCGCTCAAGACCAGCTTTGCGCCGCCCGTACCTCCTCCGATGTCGAGAGCCGCTTCCAGCTCCCGCGTCGATACTCAGGGCCTGATGCTGGGTCAGCTTTCGGCACCAGCCTCGGTGGCGATGAGCAAGAGTAACACGGTTAACGGTCCGGTCGCGCCGTCGGCTGCGGATGGCACCAACACAATTGGCCTTCCTACACCGCCGTCGTCGAAGATCCTTGCAGGAGCCAGCAACGGAACTGCTGGCACATCGACAGCGACGCCCTGAAGTTGATCTTGAACAGCCCTTTCTCACACGCCTCGGATGAATCGCTCGACTCTTCGAGCGTTTTCGCCTTCAACACGCGGTTCGCGACCGACGCCAAACGATCGCCAATTCTGGATACCCTCTCCGCACCGGCTCCATCGCGCCCTCACGAACATTTTGTCCGAATCAGTGGCGCTGCGCCTTCTGCCGCCACGGCTGCTCGGTGCTTGTCGCCATGTCTCTCTCTCTCGCTCTCTCTCTCTCTCTCTCTCTCTCTCTCTCTCTCTCTCTCTCTCTCTCTCTCTCTCTCTCTCTCTCTCTCTCTCTCTCTCTCTCTCTCTCTCTCTCTCTCTCTCTCTCTCTCTCTCTCTCTCTCTCTCTCTCTCTGTGCTCTCTTCTACCTCTCTCTTCTCCCTCTTTCCTCTCTCCTCATACCGAAGCTTTAACCCTCTGGGAGAAGCGATCTCAGCAGCTTATAACACCCCCGCGCATCGCCATTTCGCTCCTTGGCCAAAGTACCCTCTTCTCTGCTCGCTCCGCCAATCCCCTCCTGGCCGCCCGCTGCCATGTCTTCATCGCCATATTCTTCGCTCTCCCTGGGCCCCGGCTCGCAGCAGCTGTCCTACTTCGCCATCCACGCAAAGCGCAGCAGCTCCCTCAGAACTTCTCCACCCATCCCCGAACTTCTCATTGACCCACTTCATAGCACCGCCGCCCTCCACGCCAATGGTCCCTGCAGCCTGCCGCCCTCTCCCGTCTCTCCGACTTCCTCGGCGCGCCCCACCTTGCCACACACCTCTTCGTCCAAGTACAACGATATCCTCTACGCAAACACCCACTTCTCCAGGGGCAGCGAGATCCTCGTCTCCAGCAGCGGCCGCGATGGCACAGGCGACAGAGACATTCACGAGCTCCTTGCCACCGTAGCCCTGCCAGACGTTCCCGATAGCGCTACTGCGGGCATGTCACACCCACAATCGGCACCCACTTCCTTGCATGGCCTGGCCTGCCAATCGCCCGTCGTCGTTTCCGAGGCCGAGGCCTACTCCCGCCAGGTTCGCCAAGCTCTTCTCCAGGTTTCCGACTCAACGTCCGGCCAAGCAACTTCGCAGATGCAGCTCCCTTCGCTGCCGAGGGCCCAGGACGCTCCCTCTTCGAAACGATCAGGGTTAGTAAGATCCCTTGGCGGGTCTCTCCGGTCGACTGGCGGCAAAATGACAAGAGCGGCAACCGAATCCCTGGCTCACCTGACGCCATCCTCGCTTTCGCTGCCTCGCTCGATCCAGATGTCTGGCACGACTTCTTCGGCGGCGGTGAGGCGGACCAGCAACTCGTCGCAGCAGAGCAGCCTGTCCCGAGACGTTGACCGCACATCGGATTGCGGGTCCATCCACAGCAGCGTCAGCCTCTTTATCAAGAAGCCAAAGACGCGCAACAAGCTGCCTTTTAACCGGTCGAGAGCCCGGCCCTCGACTGCGCCCTCGGAGAGCACGAGCGGCGACAGTACGCGCGCAGGCACGTTCCACCGATCAATCGCAGTCAGCAGAGACAGCTCGGACTGCGGCTCGTCGAGATCGGAGGCTTGCGACGAGCCGATCGACCTCGAGACGCCCCCGGCTTCGGCATCCATGAGCTCCTTTGGCTCGGATCTGCGCCAGCAGCAATCATCGAAGGCCTCCTCACTTCGCGGTGCACCCGGAAGTAAGGGCCGGCCCTGCGGCTCCCACGGCAAGACCAGCTCCATATCTCAGCTCCTTGAGCGGCCGGCCGCCAGGGTCACCACGCTGCAAGAAGAGGAGCAGGACTGGGAAAAGACCCTGGAGCGAGCGGCTGCCACAGCCTCATGGAACACCAGCATCAACCACCGGCCGAGATCCCGTCTGCTGGAGGGCAAGGCCGACTTGCAGATGTCTTGGCCGCGGAGACATGAACGCGCGCCCTTCGATTGCCAAAGCCTTCATGGCATCAATCTGCAGGGTCAGCGCGGAGCAACAACTACCAAACGGCCGGCTCTTGCCCGGGCGGTGTCCGACTTCGCTGGGCAGTCAGAGAGGAAAAACTCGCACTACTCGGCTTCTTTTGTCGCCAGCTGCGCCACATTTCCTCGGGATGCGTGCGACGACTTGGAGGCTGAATCCTCCGGCTGCGAAGACCAGGACGGCGCTCGTCAGATCACCGCCCTTGACGAGGATTGCATCCCTCTGCAACTGGACACCGGTTTTGACGAATTGGAGCTCGCCGGCCACTTCCATGCCCGCCGCCCCTCGACCACCTGCAACAGGGGCCTACATTCGCCAGCATTGGCGCCTCCAGCCGGTCTCGGCATCACACACGGCGACGCGACCCCTAGAAGACTCACGGTGCCCGATGTACCGGAGGCCGTCACTTCGGACTCTTCCGCGGACGAGACAGAGGACGAGCAGACTTGCGCAGCAGGACCTGTACTCGTCACTGGTCGGAGAAGAAGCTCGACCATCCGACCGTCCGCTCATCAGATCGGTGGATCGGCCGCACATCACCCTGGTATGACTGCCAAGCGACCGCTGCCCGGCATCGGACAGTTGAGCGGCCAAGGGATGTGGGCATGCTGTTAGGTAGCCAGTGACGGCGACAGCTCGGCCTCTTGTTGACTGTGTTAAACCACGAGCGGGCCACATTGCCACTTTGCAGCGAAAAACAGAGCAGGTCCGATCAGGAAAGAAAGATGTGCAGGGTTTGATGGGGATGCGCATGAGTTTGACGCGGCGTTTGAGACTGGATCAGGCGCCGGCTGAGGCGCGAAGGACAAGAGTCGAGTCGGACTGGCTCGCAGCGGGTCTGGGCGCAGGCAAAAGTAACAAGAGGGGAGCGCAGCGATCGCGATGTGGTGGGTAAGAGTACAGTACAGTACAGGGGGATAGAATACATGGCCCGAGTCGTTGCAGCTAGCGCGGGTTGTTGAAATGCTGGGTCGAATTGATGTTGATGTCGGCTTGGTCGTGGGGGGTTGCTGCTTTCAGGATCGCGCTCTTGTCTGCGCGCCGGGAACGCGGAAAACGAAGAAAGGCGTGCGCGCAATAAAGAATCCTACCGGGTCTGCGCAGGGAGTGGTGCGAACGGACAGAACGAGCGCTGATGGGTCAGAGCTGTCGCCGCGTGTACAACGACGCAAGTAGTAGCACGAGGTCCTGCTCGCTGCTCTTTTGACAGAGTCGACTCGGTCGAGCCAACTCAGTCCAGCTTCGCTTTTTTCAGTCTTTGAAAGTTGATCATCATGCCCCCAGCGCCAGGGCCGCCGGCAAGCGACCCCGTTGTACCGCACCGGTCGTGAGGGACGCCGGCGACAAACAGTCGCAAATTATCCATAGTTGAAAGATCATCATCCGAAGCCGGGCCGGCTGGGTGAGATAAGCGTCTGAAACTCACAGGGTAGGATGCGTGGAGGGGATGCCAGAGACCGGCGGATGCCGCTTTACGGAGCACCGCCTGCCAGCAACTGGAGAGCGAGCTCTTCCTCGCGTTCGACCTGGCTCTTTGTCTCGGCCTCGATGCGGGGACCGAGCGCGTGCTTGGCCCTCTTTGCAGGAGGAGCCGGGCCACCGCGGGGTCCGTTGTGGTCCTCGGCGCTGTCTTGGTCGTCCTCCTCGGATTCGGAACCGATGTCGAAGTCGGGGGTCTCGTAGCCGTCCGATCGGTTGTCCAACGGCGCGAGTACCTCTCTCGCATGGTCCTGGCCCTCGCTGTCGTCGCCGTCGTCGCTGTCGACGTCGTCGCCGCGCTCGAGGGCCCTTTCGCGCTCTTTTTGCCTCTGACGCTTTTCTCTTCGCTTCTCCTTGGCTCGCTCCTTGTCCTCGACATCGGCCTCCTCCATCCTCTGTCTTTCCTCGAGCTCCCATCTCAGAGCCTGCGTGCGGGCATCGCCTTGCTTCTGGAAGTCCTCTTCGCCTTGCAGCTCGTAGAGCGCGTGGGCGTTGCCTTCGTCATCGAACAAGAGCTTCTCGCTGATGCCGCGCTTGCCAGCAAGAGCTAGCGCCTTCTTGCTCTGCCCCATGGCCAGCTTCCGCTTGGAGAGGTTGTTGGTGGAGTCCGCCGTAATCTTGTCCAGCGAGTCGATCTTGACGAGCCCATCGTTGTCGTCGTTGTCGTCGTCGTCGTCATCGCCGAGCGCGTGATTGGCACGCTTCAAAGTGAGGAAGTCGTCGTCGGCCCCACGTTCCGAATCCTTACGCTTGGACGCAGCGCGGCCATCAGCGGCCTCGTCATCCTCGGAGTCAGAATCGGACGTGTCTCCGACGAGCTTGTCCGGGCGACGCCGAGCCTTGCCATAGCGGCTCTCCTCCAGATCGCTGTCGGGGTCCGCTTCGGAGTCGTCGACGCTGCCGTGGCCGCCCTGCGATCCAGACTCCGTGTCCGAATCGGAGCCTGACCCACTGCTCGCGTCGTCCTTGGCGATGAGTCTGGAGTAGTGCTCGCTGAGGATGTCCTGGTTCTTCCTCTCAAACATGCGGTCGTACTTGGTCCTGACCTTTGCCGGCTTGTCGTCATCGTCAACCTCGTGCTCTGCCCCTGGGGCTGAGGCTTTGCGCGCCTCCTTGGTCGCCTTCTGTTGGGCAGCTCGTTTCGCCTTTTCGGCTTCTTTGACAAACTTGACTTTTGGCATGCCAGGCAGGCCGAGTGCTTCGGCGAAGTCCTCGAGGGGCAGCGCGGTGACGTCGAAAATGGCTTTGTCTTTCTGCAGGTGGACGGACCGGACGTAGGAGACGAACGCTTTCTGGGCGAGATGCTTAATCTGCGGATCCTGGAAGGCGAACGACTGCAGCTGATCGCGGATGCTTTGCGTCTTGCTCTCCTTGGGCTTGATGCGGCCGACGGGCACGTTCTTGGTCGAGAGGCTCTCGAGCACGCCCTTTTCCTCACTGGGCAGCACAAACAAGAGGCTGTTGCCCTTTGCATTGTAGCGCGCGGTCCGGCCTACTCGGTGGATGTAGGTGTCGATGTCCTCGGGCACGTCGAGCTGGATGACCCAGTCCACGGCTGGGAAGTCGAGACCTCGAGCGGCAATGTCGGTGGCGAAGAGCACGGCGTGTTTGGTCCGCGTGAACTCGCTGAAGATCTGCAGGCGCTTGGCCTGTTTCTGCTTGCCGTGCAGACACATAAGGCTGGTGCCCGGCCGGAGCTTGCAAAAGGTCTCGTGGACAAACTGGACCTGTCGGCACGAGCTCATGAAGACGAGCGCCTTGCACTTTGTGTGGGTGCGGATGAACGAGTAGAGCACGTCGAGCTTCTTGTCGAGGTCGACGACCATGTAGTGCTGTTCGAGGTTGCGCGGGGTGGAGCTCTCGTTGTCGGCCTCCTGGACTGCGACGTATTCTGGATCCTTGAGGCTGAGCCTGGCGAGATCCTTTACGCGTTTGGTCTGCGTTGCGGAAAAGAGCATCGTCTGACGCTGTTTGGGCAGGTTCTCGACGATGGCGTTGAGCGTCCTGGAGAAGCCCATGTCGAGGATGCGATCGGCCTCGTCGAGGACAAGGACCTGTACATTGGAGGTATCGAAGCCCAAGGTCTGGTCCATGTGCTGCAGCAGGCGACCCGGGGTGGCAACGAGGATGTTCATCCTCGAGAGGCGGTCCTTTTCCTGCTTGAGGTCCTTGCCGCCGATGACGAGGCCGGCCGAGAAGGAGTGAAAAGGGCCAATCTTGCGGAGGACCTCAAAGATCTGAATGGCGAGCTCGCGGGTGGGCGAGATGACGAGGGCTCCCAGGCCGTCGGTGGGCCCCCACCTGTTGCGATAGAGGATCTCGAGGACAGGCACGAGAAACGCAAGAGTCTTTCCGGAGCCGGTGCGAGCTGCGCCGAGCACGTCGCTGCCACGAAGAGAAAGGGGTAGAGACTTTGACTGGATGTCGGTCATGTCGGTGAAGCCGGCCTTTTTGAGGCCTTTTTTGGTCTGCGAAGAGATGGGGAGCTGCTCGAATTTGCGGAAATTGGGTGGCTCGACCTGGAAGGAGCGGCGTAAGGGTCGGGCAAGTTGGAAAGGAGATGGTCAGCGGCGGTAGGAAGCGGCATGCTTGGATTTTTGCGCGATACGCAACTGCGGCCGGTGGGTCCGGCAAGCACTCACAAAGGCGGCTGCCTGGTGGGTGAGGCTGTCGATGTCATCGTCGTAGAACTGCCTCTTTACCTGCCTCGCCCCGCGCGAGCGCGACTTTTGGGGCGCGGGTGCGCCGCGCTTGCGTTTGAGCGAGCCGTCGAGGCTTGTCATGTGCGTATCGAGGAGACGGGAGGGCCGCAGTAGCAGCGCAGACGTCGGAGGAATTCCACAATACGGTTGACGAAGGCCTGCAGTCGAGGCGAAGCCAAGGGGGGCTGAGAGTGAGGAGTTGGGTCAAGGACCGGATGGACGTGGAAGACGTGAGAGGAGGAGGAGGAGGGGAGCGCAGCAGTGTGGGAGCGCGCTTCCGGCCTGGAGAGCAAAAGGAACGCACGGCGCGAAGGAGGGGAAAAAAGAAAAAGAAGGAGAAACCCCGCCGCCAGCCAGGGAGCGGAAATTCCGCAGGCCTGCCCTTTTCGCACGAATCTGGCGTGTTTCGCCTTGATCGCCTGGAGAGTCCCGATCGGCGCCGCCCGATCCGATGCGGCCCTGCTTGACTGCCCATCACGAGAAGAAAAGGACAAGCAACACCACCCATACCGACAGACAGCTCAACCTTGACCCACTCTCCCCCTTGCCCATCGTCTGCCCTGCCCGCCGCCCCTCCGCTTCTCCTCTCTTTCGGAGATGCTCTCATAGCCCGCGTTTCCCCACAGGATCAACTGCAGAGCGCTTCAGATCCCCAGACGCCCTGACCTTTTGCACCTGTCCGCTCGCCAGCGTATGCAGCCATCGCCAAGCCTGGCATCGGAGCCTGGGCGGTCGCGGCCTCGCTACTCTCAAGCCGTCTTCCCTCGAGGGTCATGCCTCACCGCAGATCCTTGCTCCTCACGGCTTTCCAACACAACCTGCTCCGATCGCAAGCCGGCTCCCAGAATTGGCACCCAACTGCCAGCCTCGGCAGCACACAGCCTCTGGTGACCGCACCCCCGCCAGAGTTTCTGGCTCCAGCGACCCGCCAGACCAATTGCCGTTGGCTCTCGCACGTCTCGTCTACTTCGCGCCAAGCACACATTCTCGAGAACGGCACTTTGGCAAGCTCTTCGTCATCCGTATCCCCCGAGCCGCCACGTCTCGAGGGCAGCCTGGCCTCTGCGCCGCCCCTTGGGGCATCGGTAACCCGTAATCCATGGTGCCGTAAAACCTACAGTACGGGGGAGCACGCCGTTTCCGAACCGCTCACACCCTCCTCTGAGCCAACTTGGCAGGACTTTGCCCGCACCGTATCCCAGTCCGACCGTCCCGAACACAAGGTGAAGCAATTGCTGCTGAGCGAGCCCTTTGCTTCCGAGAGGCGCACCGCCAGCCAACGCCAGGCAAGCATCGGCTGGCGCCACCTTCACGGAAGGCTCCTCTTTGCCCTACTGGCCAGGCGCGGCACCCATGGCGCAGATGGACACGGCTCCCGCAGGAAGCCGCCGCCGTTGAGGCTTCGCTGGAGTCGTACCGCGGCCGCTGCCTTCCGCCTCATGCAAGATCAGACGGCTCCCGGTTGCTTCCAGCTGCACTTCCTCGCCGACCTGGCATACCTCGCTGGCCTGGCGTCGCGCCCGTCCCTAATCGACCGAATCCATCTTGCAGCCCGTCAGGTCCTCGAAATGCCTCGCTGGCGACAGCGGCTGCAAGCACACGCCGACTTCCTCGATCAATCGAACGCAGCCAAGGAGTTGTCATGCGAGAAAGCGGAGACGGGCCCGGATCAGCTGCGAGCATCGCCATCTCAACTCTCGAGGATAGGTCGGGTCTACCTCAGCTTGATGGCTGCCTATGGGAAGATCGGCAAGTACGACAAAGTCCAGCAATCCTTTGACGAGCTCAGAGAGACTCGGGTTGCTCCGACCATCCAGCACTATCAGCTTCAGCTTCTCGCCATCTTCGCTCACCACATAGCCAAGGGGTTCGAGCTAGCAGGCCCGCTCGAACGACGCAACGCCGCAGACAAAAGGACACTGCCAAGGAGGATCTCTGACGACGTTTCCGAGCTGCGGCGCTGCATGGACATGCACGGCGTAGAACCGGACGATACCTTCCTGGCCTCGATCGTGCATGGCTTTGGAGCTCCGTTGCGCAGCCCGTTGTCCCATGCGCTGCCGAATCGCGCCGTCCACCCTTTCCTCGGACCATCTCGCTCCTTCGTCGACGCCTTCCTTGACCGAGCCGTCAGAAGCTCGCATCGGATGGCAGTCGATTCGCGCGCCTACCAAAGCGAAATGGGCCTCGTTTCGAGGACGCGAGCAAGGCTTCTAGACGCACTGATCCAAGTCGAGCTCGATGCCCTCCGCTTCACCGAGCAGCACAAGGAGCAAGGCAGGCTTCGGAGGATTCAAGGGCTGATCCAGTGCGCAGCCGAGGCTCAGGCGAGTGCCATGACAGCAATCGGCTCTTCGACACCGAGTCTGCACCAATCTGGACCGAGCAGCGCAGCTGCCGGATACATCCAGGCCCGTGTCTTGGCAGGTCAGGCTCGCCTCGATGCGGCCCTGTCGATTCTGCCTGCTCTCCTCGAGATGCCCAAACACGGACCCTCCGAGGATGGGCCCGGTAGCCGCAGCCATCGCGATCACGTGCTGAGACGGCGCAGCATCGTCATCATGCTCTTCTCGAGCGCTATCAAGGTGCGGCATTCGTCAAGACGGCGCGACTACGCCTTCGAGGTCCTGGACGCAGCCGTGCGGCACGAATCGTTCGCCGAGCTCTGGAAGGAACGCGTCGAGCCTACCGGGTGGCTCGCCGACTCGAATCCCGACGATCGCGACCCACACTGCACTTGGAATCGCCTGTGGAAGCGGTACTTGCGGGCGTGGTCCTCGGATGTCGCCAACGGCCGGTCGTCGACGGGATCGCGAGCGTCGACGGAGCCCTGGAAGGTTCTCTCCGACTGCATCACATCGATCACCTTCATGCTCGGTAGGCTCCAACGCAGCCGGTTCCATCGCAGACCTTTTGACACCCTCGTCAGCGAAAAGGGTCTGGTGCGGGCGATGCTGCATGCAGCCGCCGTCGGAGGAAGATGGACCAATGACCAGACGCCGGACTCGGCGACGCGATCAGTGGCGCGGATCGACAGGGTCCTTCGGCTCTTCAGTTTGGCCCGGGTACGACCACGGATCTGGAGTCTAGCCCGCAGCATACTGGTAGAGTACGGAAATCGGCAGGAGCGGCCGCAGCTTGCCCCGTCAGCCTTGGCGGAGGTGCTGCGATTGCTGAACGAGTACAGCCGTGACCAGGCCGCGCCGCCGGCAGACCTCGGCGAGACCAGGGCAGGGGGCCCGCTCGGTGCCGCGGACACATCGACGCTGCGCACGCAAGGTCAAAAGCAAGTCGGGGAAGCGAGTAATTGAACGCGGGTGGAAGCCGCTGCCACGCCTAGCCTCGATGCGATCCACCAGTGGAAATCTGCTCGCCCGTCCTCTGTGTTGGTGATGCGGCGCATGCGTGGGTCGAAAGTGCATGTGCATCCGACCCAACCTAACCTTCGCAGATGCTTTGCTGCTCTGTACTGCCAGTTGAGAAGCTGCAGGGCTTGCGGAGCCCGCGGTCCCAGATCCTCGCCGGGCCTGGCCCAGCTCACAGCTCATCACGCACCCTGGACATGGCGTCCTGGAATGCTTCCTCCACTTTCTTTCCGGCATGCTCGATGCGTTCGGCCGCACCCTCCGGGGAAGGTGTGGCCCGAGCCGCACTTTGCAAGGACCTCGTCGCGTGGTGTACGGCGCTCTTGAGGGTTTCGACGGCCGGGTCAACGAACCGGCTCGAGGAATCGACGACTTTGGCAGATATGGGTGAGACGATCGGTGCAGCGGCGTCCGCGGCCGCGTTGAGGCCGGATGCCACCTCGTCCCGGGCAAGGGCAATGATCTGATCGGCGCCTTCGTTGAGCGTGTCGGGCCGGGGGGTTCCTCCGGCAGCAATTACGCCAACTTTCGAGGCGTCGTGCGCGAGACTCGAGACAGAGGCGCTTGCCGCCGAGACCCCTGATTTCACCTTGGTCGCTGCGCTCGAGAGGCGGTCTGTCGCTGCGGTTGCTCGTGTCGGGATGCCAGCGGCAGAAGCGAGGTCCACGTAGACGGCCGAGGCGCCGGAGGCAGCGGCACCAAGGACCGAAGCGGCAGTCTCCTGCGGCTGAGCCTGCACGACGAAAGACTGTGCGTCGACCACGGCATTCGACGCAGCAGAAGCGATGGAAGACGCCACGCTGCTTGCTCGCGACGCGACGGACTCGACGTGTTCGGCCGGTGCCTCTGGGGTTGGCTCGATTCCAAAAACTTCGCCCAGGCTGCGCGTAGCCTGGTGCAGTGCCGCCGGGGCGGCCGCAGCGTCGCCGATTGAAGACGCCAAGGAAGCAGCAGAATCGCGAAGCCCCTGAGCGGAGTCAGCCAGCGAGTCGGGCGTGAAGGATGCGCCAACTACGGAAGCTGCGCTCCTAGTAGCATGATGAACGGCGCCAGAGACGTCGTTGGCGTACGACGAGGCGGATGTTGCAGCCGCAGAGGCCACCTTGTCTCCAGCTGATCGCACCTGGCCAAGGATCGATCCTGCTCCCTTCCCGACTGCGTCGACTGCCTCGGCTTGGGACGTGGTGACGTCGCTAGCGGCCTGTTTTGCCGATGTGATGGTGTTTTGAGCGTAGGCCCTTGCGCGTGCGAAGTAGCCATCGGTCGCCGCCGGTTCCCTCAGACCCAGCTTTTCGCGCGCCAGAGCCACTGCGGCGAGCATCCCAGATGCGGCCTCGAGGCTGATGTTGGTGGCCTGATCAGCGACAGCGTCTGCAACGTCTGAGATCTTGGCGATGATGCCGTTGCCCTCGAGCTGGGACAGACCGGTCTCGCCAAACTTTTCGACCTCCCGGCGCGCTGCAGAGAAGAGGCGTTCAGCGTGCTTTCGCAGCGCAGCAATTTCGGGTGCCAAGCGAGGGGCCTCGCTGTCAAGGTCGCGAGCTCCACTGTCCGCATTCACCCGACGTTCCCCTCGCTGGACCTCGCCCAGATCCTCGAGGTAGAGGCTCGCCCGCTTCCGGACGCCCTTGTCCCAGCCCTCCCATTCGTCCATTGTCGCGGCAAACTTGCAGTCGGCCATGATGCCATCGTAGGTCTTCTTTGCGGCATCGGCGAAGCGGACGATTTCTTGGAAGCTGGTCTCCACGACCTGCCGCTCCTGGCTGAGCAGGTCCTCGTGAAAAGCGGCGATGCGCCTCTTGGTGTCCTCGGCCGACTGATCGAGCTTGGCGAGCTGCTGTGAGATGAGAGCCCGGCCCTTGGCAGGACGTGCGGCGGCTGGTTCGACCTTGGCCAGCTTCCGCAGGCCTCGTTCGATCCGACTCAGAACGAGCGCAACTTCGTCCTCGACGAACGTCTCAGACGTAGTTCCGAAGCGATCCGGCAGGTCAGCCATGGCGCGGTTGCGCAGGTCGATTAGACGGCTCACGGCGAGCGCGTACTCGCGTCGAATGAGGGCGCCCATCTCTGTCTCCCATGCCTCAAGCTGTTGCTCGACCCTAGCTCCTTCGGCGTCCAACTCTGCGTCCAGCTTCGCCGTCTCAACGCGATCCTGGCCGTCGTCGCCGGCGAAGACTGCATCTTTTGCCTGCCTGATCTTGTCCATCAGGGAAGGATCCTGTTGCGCCTTGAGGGCGGCCTCCTCGGCTGCATTGATGGCGGCCTTTGTCTGAGCATCTGCATCTCTGCCGAGCCTGCTGCTCTCGGCCTGGGCCGCTTTGATGGCGTCCGATCCGATCCAGTGAGCCTTTTGCTCGTACAGCCGGGCGACCAGCTTCGCGACTTGCGGTCGGACGTAAATGCTGAGAAAGCGGCGCAGGGCCGGATCCACGTGGAGAACGAGGAAGCGGTGGAGCAGTTGTAGCGCCTTGACAATGTGTGGGTGGACCGCGTCAACGTAGAACGCATAGAGGGCATGGCTGGACTGCACGCCGTACCGATAGGCCAGCACGACGTGGGGCGCGACATCGCGTTGATAGATGTCCTGATAAGGCCGAACATGGCGCTGGAATGAGTCAACTTGGGGCTGCACATGACGGTCGTACTGAGCGTAGACCTGCCTCAGGTACGGATCGGCTTCTGCCTTGGCTCGCTTGATGGCGCGCTTGCGGGCAGGGTCGATGTGCTTCTTGTAAATCAGCCTGCCGCGCCGCTGAGCCGACCTATAATAGGGTCGCGAGACCTTCCACGCCCTTTGTGCGTAGGGCGAGACAGCGTCGAAGGCTGGCTTGGTGTAGGGCTCTGCGGCGACCTGGACCTTGTGCGCGTACGGGGAGATGACGGGAGCGAGCTGCTGGTGCATCTGTGCGATAGTGCGACAGACGGGACGGACATCCTTGGTAGAGTAGTCGAAAGCAAAGGGCCTGGATGGACAGTGCCAGAGGGCAGCAAAGACCTTGGAACACAACAGGGAAGGCAGGGCAACGACGACCGATAGCAGATGAGCACCACAGTGTTTGCCCCCGACCTTTGCCATCAAGCACTCACCGTGTAAAAGAGCGCAACGCGGAGGCTAAACGAAGACAGCGAGCTCCAAAAGCCGCCCTAGTCAAGAGTGGAAGCATCACAGATCAAGCCGAACAGATCGCGATCAGCCTTGTTACACCTCGAAAACCAAGCTCCAGAGCACGTCACGGATACTCACCTTCTTCGTGGTCCGACGCTGCGGATCTTCCTGCTGAGGCGGTCCGGGACAAAGGGTCAGGCAGAGAGCTTCAGCAAGCGAAGTCCAGGGTATGTATCGGTGCCGGATCGTGAGCATAGGCTCACAGCAAACTTGATCGGAGGGATCGCAACATTTCGCCTCGCCGAAGCCGTGGCGGGAGTGCTGCGCCTCGCCATTGTCGCAAGGGTGGTGGCCTCGCCCCTCCAAGCGTCCGAGATGGAAAGTTTTAAGGGGGCAGCCGCGACGTCTCTCTGGGAAATCGTTCTGGATCCGTTGGCTGATCGATGATGGTTGCAGTCGGTGGATCGTGGTATGGCAGAGGCGAGCTCTGAGACTGCTAGAGCGGTGTGGTGTTGCCCCGCCAAGATCGTGGCTTGTGCAGCAGCGATGACGCTCGCTCGCGCTCGGACCCAGGTCGTTTTCTCGTGCGGTTCGACCCAGTGCACGACCAGTGCGATCAAAATTCGGGAGTCGGATTCAGGGCGAGCCAAAATCGCCTGCCGCGGCACGCCCCTCCAGGCTACACGGCGCTGGAAACTGTGAAGTAGGGACATTTCGGCATCACTCCAGACCAATGGCTGGACCGATAGGTAGAAATTCATGCTTCCTCTGGACCGGTACGGCCTCAAAGCGTTTGAATACCCCAGCCAACATTCGAACGCCTCTGGACTAACCTAATAGCCTCTGCAATGCAATGCGATGCGATGCCATGCAATGCAATGCCTTGACAACTGCATATGCGAGCCTCAACCTGCCTAAAGCAGATGATGTTGCCGCAGCCGCTGTTGCTTGATGGTGGATGCGCCGAGATGGTCTGAAGATGATCCCTACACCCGCGTCATTGCCACCTTTGCCTGTCCTGTCAAAGATCCAACAGAGCATTGGCAAAGCACCGCCGCTTTGCCCAGCTAGTGGTCCAGCCCAATCTCGACGCGAAACGACATTTGTACCAATAGCTGGACTGTTAGCTGGAGCGGTCCAGCCATCGGTCTGGAGTGATGCTGAAATGCCCCTACTATGTACTGTGGATGGTGGAAGCATGCAAGGTAGGAGGACATGGAGACCAACTAGGGTCACCAGACATAGCTAGCGTCAGAGATAGCTACGCTTTGGGCCGTAGGAATCCTTCGGCCCTGAACTCGGGATTCGGAAGTGTCCTTTGGCCTTTTTGGGCCGCCAGGGTCCTTTGGCCGGATTTCGGAGGACTCCTGCGGCCCAAAAAGGCCGAAGGACCCCTACGGCCAGGAATTGGAGGCCATTTGCACTGCTTTCAGCCGCAGGCTTTGTACAGCCGAGAAAATGGCTCTGCTTATGTCAGCTCAGGAGGCCTTGCGCGCGCACGCTGGCCCCTTTGCCACCTGGCCCTTTGCAAAATCCATCCGCCTGCCGGCCCATCTCTCCTGCCCTCCTACCAACACCACCCGATGCCAGCCGCCCGCTAGCCGCCAGTTGCCAACCCCAGGCCAGTCGCAAGGCCCTGCCAGCACCTGCCAGCTGCCCGCCAGCCAGCCAGCCAGCCAGCCGTGCCGCCACCCAAGCCAGCCAGCCAGCCGCCAGCCCAGCCCAGCTGCGCGGCTCAACCAGCACCCAAGCCAGCCAGCCAGCTAGCCGCCAGCCCAGCCAGTCACCCGGTGAGCTGCCAGCCACCGCTGCTTCCGCCCCGCTGCCGCCGTCAATCATCGGAGACTTTGGAGAGGTCTCCTCCGGTGTCTCCGATGATTGAGACCACTGACAGCCTTGCTTCTGCTCCACCTGCATGCACAGCCAACCTTGCCGTTGTCTGCTAGTCTGCTGCTGCTCTTGTGAGTTGACTGTTGCCGCTCTTCTTCTGCCACTTTGCTGCGCACCGTTGCTGACTCCTTTGCTCCCCTCTACTTGCCTGCTCCTCCCTCACCGCCTTACTTTGCTGCTGACAATGCTCTGCCGCTGTCGCTGCTGCCGCCTTGCTCTACCGCCGTTGGTGCTGCCCTTGTAGGTAGCATAGTATTGCAATGGAATCGTAGATAGGATACAGCTGTGGGTGCGTGCTGTGCCTGCGTTGTGGGAGCGACGCCATCCTACGGCCCTTGGTGCGTAGAGGTCCTGCGGCCCTGTAGAGTGTAGGAGTCCTACGGCCCAAAGGCCAAAGATGTAGACCGGCTGAGTACAGCCCTGGGGATGCGAAGGAGTTCTCCGACTCCCGAGGCCATAGCTAAATCTCTGCCGCTAGGTATGATAGCTAGCAGCAGAGTTGGGCCCAATTTGGGTCGTATGCAGGCTACAATCTAAAATCAAGGATTGATACCTGTCTTCGATTTTTCTGATGTGCAGCCTACCCATTGCTAGTGTCAAAGGTACCTACGTTCTGGGCTGTTGGGGTCCCTCGGCCCTGGGCTCAATATTTAGGAGTGTCCTTTGGCTTTTTTGGGCCACCAGGGTCCTTCAGCTGGAAAATGGAGGACTCCTGCGGCTTTTTTGGGCCACACAGGCCCTGCGCACACAAAACGGCAGGGTCTTGCGCTGTTTTGGGCCTCAGCACTCATAGCTAGGGGCAGGCTTTTGGCCTACGATTTTGGAAATCGTATGTCTTGTACGATATGGCAGTGCTTTAGGAGATCGTTAATCCCCTACGACACCGGGTGCCGTAGGAGTGTCACAGCCCTGGCCCAATTGGGGCTGAGCGGCGCGGGCCAGCGGAGCAGAGGATTCCGGAGCCGAGGTGAATTCTCTCCGCGCGGCCGCGGAGAGGAATCATCAGGCTGCTAGCAATCCTCTGCGCGCCGGGCGACGTCGGCACGCACCGTGCGGCTCCGCAGTTGCTCCTGCTGGCAGGAGGATGCTTCGGATCCGCACCGAGGGCCAAGGGCTAGGCTTCGGGCATGACGGTGGCGTCCCACCTCGGAGCAACGCCTTGGGATGACAATGGAGGACAATAGGACAATAGAGGCCATTCCTGATTGGTCAAGGCAGGGATGTCTCGACGCTGTAGGTAGACAGTATATAGCCTAGTCCTCCTCTGCGTCGGTAGACTGGATGAGGGGCATCCAGTCTAGTCAATACCAGTCCTCACAGCTTGCTTGTCTTCCATCGACGTGAGAGCCCAAGGCTACCGTTGCCTAGCAAATACGACGCCTATCGACAGATCACCTCGCCAGCTCACTTCTGTAGTAATCCTTGACCGTGGACGCCTGCCAACGGTGCTCACAGCCGCCCTCGGTATCGACCCGCCGTTCCCGAACCTCGCTCGCGCCTCTGACGGGAGCACCAAAGCGATCGCCCTCCGACGCGCAGAGACTTCTCTGCCCCTCAGATACTCCTCTGCGCACTTGCCAGGTCGACCGTTACAAGGAGGACCTACGGCACTTTTGGCCGTAGGCATCCTACGGCCTGCTTACCATAGGTCTACCCCCAAACCCACAGCCACATGTATCTACGGACATTGTATTGCAAAATCTGAACACTAATATGCGGCAGCGTGGCGACAGCATTGGTGAGTGGCGGGGCGAGCAGGCAGGAAGGCAGGCGGCAGCAGGCAGCAGCGGCAGAGCATTGTTGGCAGCAAAGAAAGGCGGCGAGGGAGGAGCAGGCAAAAGGGAGACGGGAGCGAAGGAGTCAGCAACGGCAATCAAGAAGGACAAGAGCGGCACAAACTCACATGAGGCGGAGCGGAAGCAAGGGCCTCAATCATTGGAGACGTCGGAGAGGGCCTCTCCGACGTTTCCGATGATTGACAGCGGCTGCTGGCGGAAGCAGCGGCAGGGCGGCTGCTGGTGGGTGGCCGGCTGGCAGGTCTTGCTC